TTATGCTCTGTTATGCATTTCATGTGTGACAGGCTTAAGACCGCAGCACAGACTCTTGCATAACGCATAACGCATAGTGCATAAGTGAATCAACTAATCAGAATTTTTCCTTTCCTTCCATTCCATGGAAAAGAAGAATTTCGATTGGTCGATTCCCTTATGCACTATACATTATGCGTTATGCAAGAGTCTGTGGTGCGGCCATTACTTACTACCAGTGCGAGTTGTGATTAGCCATTGCTTTTCTGCTTTCTGCTTTTCTGTCAAGGTGTGAACGCGCCCTAATTCCACCATGCTCATTTGGTGCATTCAGTGCTACAACCGCTTTTATTGAGCGTTCATACTTCTCTGGATGTATTTACTATTCCAATTTCCTTTCACTATGGAGTATGGAGATAGGAATCAATAAACAAAAAGAAACGAGGTTTCTTTCTGCCAGTGCCAGAAATCATTTTTAATAAAAACAATATAATTCATGATAGCACAACTATAGAAAATCATGGCGATGTTCGAAGTGTTAAGGAAAGACTACAGCGTAAGTACAACGTTTGGAATAAGTATTGTTTTCTATTCACAAATTTTTATTTATAACCATACATTATATTTACACAGCATCTTATTTTTCTTCTCAGGATTATTTGCGGCAGTATTTCAAGCTGTCGGACGTCTCGTTATTTCAAAAAAAGTGCATTGAACGTTGTGCAAATGACAGTGACAGAAAAGCGGCGATCGACCAGGCGCTCCGAGATACTTTACTGGCCGTACTGACGGATAACGCTTCGGGTAACGTGCGTTCCCTCGAATCGTATATCACATTCTGTATAGAGCTATGTAGAAAGGATCTTGCGACGGCGAGTATGCCAGTGATGCTACTGGGTGATATCTTCGATTCAATGACGCTCGACAGATGCGAACAGTTATTTACTTTCGTGGAGAATAATGTCACTGTATGGAAGGAAGACTTGTTTTTTACTGCCTGTAAAAATAACTTGTTGAGAATGTGCAACGATCTCCTAAGGAGACTGTCGCGTTCACAGCAAACTGTATTTTGCGGTAGAATTTTACTATTCCTAGCAAAGTTCTTTCCTTTCTCTGAGAGATCTGGCTTGAATATCGTTAGCGAGTTTAATTTAGAAAATCAGACAGAGTTTGGCTTGGAGAAAGCAGAGGAAGATGACTTAGAACAGATTACTAAGGATGACGACAAGTCAGAAAGCAAGATACCAATTGATTACAATTTGTACAGAAAGTTTTGGGCATTACAAGATTTCTTCAGAAACCCAAATCAGTGTTATAATAAAATGCACTGGAAGGTCTTTTCAGCTGTAAGTTGTTATCTTCTCCAACAATTCCTCTAAACAGTAATATAGGTTGATATTCATAGTTGGTTTTTATTTTAAGAATGTCTTAAATATATTAATATGACTTTGTGATTGTCTTATATCTTAAGACTGTAATTAAGTATAAGACTCTTATTAACTATAAATACCAACCATAAACTTACAATAAATTTATTAAAAAAATATATACATTATTTGTAGCATGCGTCTAATGTGTTATCAGCATTTGCTTCTTTTAAATTGGAGGAGCAACGTAGTTACCCTTCTACATGCATCAAGATGGATACTTCTATGGAAGGTTCCCACAAAGAGACGCATTATTTTGCTAAATACTTGACCAATCAAAAATTACTGGAGTTGCAACTGTCAGACTCCAATTTCAGACGATATGTATTGCTGCAATTTCTCATTCTTTTCCAGTATCTGAATAGCACTGTAAAATTTAAGGCGTAAGTATTCTCTGTATTAAAATGTAATGGATATTTTATAATAAATATACAAGCCTCGTACTTTTGAATTAACAAATTCTTTGGCAATTAGCGAAATGCCTCTAAATAGTCATAAAAATGTTTGTTTTTCAAAGCTTCCTTGCCAGTGGCTATGAGACAAGGTCTGCTTTTCTTAAATTAAATGTCTCGTGATATGTACATTATCGAATCACTATGATATTTGTTACTTTTAAGTGAGACACACGAACTCAAGCCAGATCAAGTGGAATGGGTGAAGACTATTACTGAACAAGTTTATACTTTACTGACCGAAACACCGCCTGACGGCCCCACGTTTGCGGAGACTGTGAAGAACATCTTGAAACGCGAAGAACATTGGAATACATGGAAGAATGAAGGTTGTCCACCATTCAAACGACCAGCATCGGATATCAGTGATGAAGAGCCGCGAAAACCGAGAAGACCGAAACGACGTATCGGTGACGTAATTAGAGATGCACAAACAGTTGGCAAATATCACATGGGAAAGTAAATAGCCTTTAAAAATGAAGAAGTGAATTAACATTTGCATAGAAAACTGAATAATTACATTTACATTATTCTTCAACAGTCCAGAACTTACTAAATTATGGAATTTATGTCCAAATAATCTCGAGGCATGCAAATCTAAGGATAGAGATTTTCTGCCGTCTTTAGAAACGTATTTTGAAGATGCTATAATGGAATTGGATCCTGCTGCAATGGTCGATGATAAATACAAGTAAGTGTTATCGTTCATGGCATATTTATTTTTGTTGTGATAATGTATCGGTTTATTGTTTCCAAAATTGATTACAATTTATCAAATATTCTTCTTTTATTAACAATAATCTTTAATTTTCCAATCAATCTCTTTCTGAGGCAATATATGAGACGGGTCGGGGTTAAACTCAAGATCCGCTGAGAGTCAATCACTCATATAAAAACATGCATCATCCCTCATTGTGATTATTAGTATTAATGAAATAATTTTATATTTACAGGAAGGTGAACGATGGTAATTTTGGTTGGAGAGCGTTAAGATTGTTAGCGAGACGAAGCCCGCATTTCTTTGTTCACGGCAATTATCCTATAAATAAATTGCCTGAATATCTTGAGACAATGATTAAGAAGATTGCCAAAGATCGTCCAGTGAGTTATCTTCCTATGAATATGCTTAATCTTAATGTTTTTTAATTTTTTACTACGTTTTATAGCAGACACAGTCTGATACGAAATTGGAAACTGAGGAGACACCGCCATCGGAATCTACCGATCAAGAATTCAATGAAGACGTCTTGAAACAGGAAAGTGAGCAGGTTGATGCTGAAAGTGCTGATGTAAAAGCCAGAAAATTGAACAAAGTCACACCAGAAATGGTGGCAAAATTATCGGAAAGCTTAAAAAATGATTGGAAAAAATTAGCGACCAAATTTGGATATACAAATGATGAGGTATATAAGCATATATCAAACGTATTGTTAGTATAATACTATTATTTATAATTATAGAATTTTAATACATTATGTGCGCTTTAGATTGCTTTCTTCCAAAGCAAAACAACGCCATATGAACAATGTAAAACTATGCTTGAGATATGGGCGGAAGAAGATGAAGATGCATCAGTTGAAAATTTAGTTTATATTTTAGAAGGTTTAAAATATACAGAGGCATTAGCCGTTCTAAAATCTTAAATATGTTCTTAAATATATTTTTTAATTTATTGAATAAAAATAACAAT